ATCCAACCTAACATAATCTTGCAGTTCCATTTTAAATGTCCGTTCAACCTAACCTCAAAACCAGTTCACAACTTTCTAAATAGTCCTAAGATTATTGGCGTAACGTCCATAGAAGAATATGGACAAATAGCACGCAATAATTATCAAGAAACAATATAATAAGCAGCAGCTTCATCGTGTTGTATCTCTAAATTGATAATTCTGTCCCGACATGGCAGACTAAGACGGATAATGCACAATTTGCATCAGGACGCGAGAGTCACCGGTGTAAATTACGTCGAAACACGAGGAGAATAATAAATTTCCGCTGTTTCTCGCACGATAGAGGATTCTGGGCGTTTAGATGACGCTGAGTAATACGCGGGGAACACAATTTTTCTCAGAAAATTCACCAAACAGTGGACTATTCGCTTCGAATAAATTATACTCATTTGAAAGAGAAAATCATTTGTGACTATTTTTTATGGGACGTTAAGCGATGCTAATATTATGTACAAAGGATTGAGAACATTTTAAGTAAAAAAGTATAAATAGTATTTATTTATAGAAATAGTTTTTAAAAACTATTTTTTATAGAACGTTAAATGAGTCTAATATCATGTACAAAGAATTCAGAATATTTTAAGTAAAAAAGTATAAATAGTATTTATTTATAGAAATAGTATTTTAAAACTGTATATATTTTTATAAGATTTTTAGCTTCAGGTGCAAAACGTTAAAGAAGTTTATAAAAATGGAAATGCACGAAAGGTCTCGCAAGAATCCTCAGAATAGCCCTGAAGTTTCATCAAGGGCGTGAAAAATACACGTGTTTACTGAAATAAGAAAGATTAAAGTACATAAGGGAACTTCGTGGAAGCTTAAATCTTGTTTAAAGTAATGGCTACTCATTTAAAGTAACTGCGTTATCTGTTAGTAAAATTTTTATTAGGATAGAATTTTCCCCTTGACGCCGTTTCTTTGACGTTAACAAAACTCCTTCGCGAAAATGGACTCCTTTTCTTTTAATATATTCATTGTTGAGACACATATTCATTGTTTAAGCTGCCATAGAAACGATGACTTTGTCTATTATTATTCTTTGTGAAGCTGCAGAACGTTTTTTATAATTTAATAAGTTCAATAGTTCATTTTTTAATTCAGTAAATTTCAATGGTAATTTTAATGCAAATTTCATGGTAATTTTAATGCAAATTTCATTGAAATTTTGTAAATTTCAAAGTACTGAAAGTTGAGAATTAGGTTAAGCATTTCAACATTCCTAAAAACATTGAAATTTTTCCAAATTTGTCAATTTTTATAGTTATACAAATTTTACTATATCACAATACATTATTCTACACATAGAATATTCTATAATTTCCCAAAACTCATTAAAACGAGAATGGTTCATTTAAGAAACCCTTGTTAGTCCATTCCAGCTTGACCAATAACACAGTCCCTGTCCTCTTTATTCGGGTCACCTATCCATTCAAATCTGCTTTTCGACCCCTTCTAACATATTTTGCAATTCATCCCCGTTTTCCAACCCCTCCAGAAAGAAATATATAATGGTTTAGCACGTGGTTCCAACAATTTTTAAGCTACATTAAATTTTCCCTGTGAATGCCTGCCTTGAACGCGTTTGTAAAAAATATTTTTCTCACCGTTATTCATCATGTTGAAGCATCGAACATTTAGGATCCCAAAAATGAGATTTGAAGCTTCGTTTTTGAATTATTAAGAAAAACGCGGACCAATCAGAGCGAGAGATTACGTACAGAATTATGGCACGTGGGAATTACGGCGCGTGGAAATACAGTGCGTGGAAATTACGGAGCATGGAATTATGGCGCGTGAAAATTATGGAGTGTGATACTATCGCACGTGGAATTATGGCGCGCAGAAATTTCGATGCGTAGAAATGTGGAATTATGGCGCGTAGAAATTTCAACGCGTGGAAATACGACGCGTGGAAATTACGGAGCGTGGAATTATGGCGCATGGGAATTACAGAGCGTGGAATTATGGCGCGTGGGAATTACGGCGCGTGGAAATACAGTACGTGGAAATTACGGAGCGTAGTATTATGGTGCGTAGAAGTTTCGACGCGTAGAAATACAACGCGTGGAATTACGGAGCGTGGAAATTACGGAGCGTGGAATTACGGCGCGTGGAAATTGCGGAGCGTGGAATTATGGCGCGTAGAAATACAACGCGTGGAATTACGGAGCGTGGAAATTACGGAGCGTGGAATTACGGCGCGTGGAAATTGCGGAGCGTGGAATTATGGCGCGTAGAAATTTCGACGCGTGGTAATTACGGAGCGTGGAATTATGGCGCATGGGAATTACGGCGCGTGGAAATACAGTGCGTGGAAATTACGTAGCGTGGAATTATGGCGCGTAGAAATTACACCGCGTGAAAATACAGCGCGTGGAAATTACTCAATGAAAAATTATATTCCTCAATAATTCAAAAACTCAAAAATTCGATAGAATGTAACTTGGGTCCTTTGAACTTATCATACCTGCACAAAGTATCAAAAACTAAAAATGGTATAAGTTTGATCTAATCTCAGTATTGCATTCTAACAGCTAGCATTCATCAGTAAATCCATCGCGTGCCAAAGAGATATCCTTTATTGGCCGCGGATCAGGTCAAGCATTATGACGCGATGAATCATCGCGAATAGTCGGTAATTTGGCAAATGAGAAATAAACGAACAACGATAAACTTGTATGTAAGTCAGCGGATTTTCAGCAGTAGGATGTAATAAAATATTTGAGGAAACCCGTTGGTTTTGTTTGCACGGTCGCTGAATTTTACGGGGTCGTTAAAAGTTGGGAAAAACGGACGATGTTTTTCGAAAAAGTTGCGTCGTTATTAACACAAAGTCTCTGTGTTTACGAGGAGGATGACGTTGTATCCCGAGCGAGGGCTAAACTTTAATTATTCGTTAGCTGAGATCACCTTTTTCACGGATGTCTGATCAACCGTTGACTACTACTACTCGTGTGACAGGGATTTCGTTCGTTTTTCTACCTTTGTTGCCGAAGTTTTCGGGATTGTAATTATTTCCGGTGGAGACATTTTTGTTTTGGTTTCGACAAAGTGGACGCTCGTCAAAGAACGTGATAATTAATTATTTTTGTGTGCATGTTTAAAACGAAATTTATGGAGGATTATATGCGTATGATATTAACAATATCGTGTGCTATTAAATATTTATAAATTCATAAATTTATAAACTTGCAAATTAACTAGTTTACTAATTAAGCAATTTAATAACTTATTAATTTATGACTTCATAGATTTATATTTTAGTAAATTACAAAATACTGATATTCTCCTGTTTACAATTTCGCAAAATGAATTTGATACTAATGATGTTGGTGTAAGAGTATCAAATTTTCAAACTCCGTCATTATAATTTACCTAACTTCAAAACTACAGTCCACTCTCTAAATTTCGAATATTTTCAATACTTCAAACTACCAAATTTTTCAAGTTTGAATTTCCTTAATATTTCAACTCCTGAATCAAATTTAATTTAACAAAATCTAATATGGAACTTCGCATTAACAAATAACTATTTATTTCGCCCGCAGAGTCTACCTAACTCTACCGTTATATCATCGAAACAGTACCTCAATAAAGTACAACACACAGAAAATTTGTAGTGCGTCAAAATTTCTAGCAGACACATTCGGACCTCTTTTTTTCCCAATAAATCAAAAACGATGAGAATCACACGCTCCGCCGAGCGTGTTTAACGCCGCGACGAACAACGCCAATGGCATTAAAAGAGCTATTACGTGGGTCACGGATGACACGAAACACTTTCGAGGATTTGGCAACAAATCTGCTTTCCATAATCGGACGAGATCGACAAGCATAATTCGATCCGGTAAACGAGTTAGGTAACGTTAACTATATAGTAAACTGTCACATTTCTTAAATCGCTGAGTTGCGTTTTTCTGAGGTAGATATATTCATTTTTATATCTCTTAATATAGATTGCTTGGAAATTACGGAGTGTGGAGTTATGGCGCGTAGAAACTTCGGTGCGTGGAATTATGGCGCGTAGAAATTTCGGCGCGTGGAAATACGACGCGTAGAATTATGGCGCGTGAGATTTATGCCGCGTGGGAATTATGGCGCGTGGAAATACAGCGCGTGGAAATTACGGAGCGTCGAATTATGGCGCGTGAAAATCACGATGGGTGGTTTTATGGCGCGTGGAATTGTGGCGCGTAGAAATTTCGACGCGTGGAAATAGGGCGCGTGGAAATTATGGAGCGTGGAATTATGACGCGTAGAAATTTCGACGCGTAGAAACACAACGCGTGGAAATAGGGCGCGTGGAAACTACGGAGCGTGGAATTATGGCGCGTGGGAA